AAAGACAACCATCTTCTCCTGCGTTCTAAGGGACGATTGAATTGAGAATTGAAGAAGTACAAGGGTTTATGCACTTCCTTGGGATATTGGGATAGCTTGCCCCTCAAGAAAAAAAAGTAAATTTTAATTACACTGTTTTAAAAGATTATCACAGTTTAATATTTTTGATCAAAATTTAATCCCATTTAATTACAAATTATAGAAAAAAGTATATTTAATTATAATGTAAATTTTGTAAAAATAAATTTATTTAAAAATATAGTTTTGAAATATTAAATTTTTATAATATTTAATTATATTTTTCACATAAATAGATTTTTTGCTTTTTACAAAGCTCATTACATATTATTATTTTATTTATTAAAGTATATATAATAAGTATGTATCTGATGACTATAAAAAAGAAATAAAGTGAAAAATATTGTGCATTCTTTCCTATACAAGGGGATTTCACTTGGACAAGGATTTGGGCCCATCACTATGGGGACCAATGTACGAGATATTGTAGCACTGACCAATGAGGTCCTATCGATTAGTATTACACTATTACATAGAAGAAATTTTTTGGAACGTCCAAGAAGGAAAACTGGATCAAGCTTCAAGAGGGTCAATAATAAGAAAACTTGATTTAAAGTGAAAAATAGATTTTAAATTTATTGAAGTGAATTTCATTTAACGAAATTCTGTTTATTCTTAAAAATGCATTTACCAAATTTTAAACCTTGTATGCAAACGAAAGACACATGTAGTAATAGTGATCATGTACCTTCTTCATCCATATTTTGAAGCAAGACCATATTTTGAACCATCTTCCTCTGTAATTTACATGACTGTAGAGATTCAACAATAACAACTCATCCTATAAAATCCCATAAAGTGATGTTTGAGGGATAGGTGTACACCCCCCCCCCCCCCCGGGTCAAGCCGTGACGACAAAAGGTTAAGGAGGAAAAAGAAGAAGAGACAACAACAATGCAACCATTCAGACAATTCCATTTCTGAACTTTCTAACTGAAATAGTGTGGAGGGCAATACACATACACTTACAAAGGTCACAAATTTATAACCTTGCTTAGGAGAGAAGAGGATACAATAAAAATCACAGTATACAAACCACAAACAAGTATAGTAGTAGCCTCCTATCGAGAAAGTACCTTTGGATTTGACGAAACACGGAAGAGCCTCAAATCCTACGAAAACTTGCTGGAGTACTCATGGCATCAGTTTCCATATAGGCGTGGGTTGTTGTCAATTATGACTCAAAACGGGAAGAGTAAGAAATGGTTTAGATTATTACATGAAATAATATGGTTCCGAAAACTGCAATCCGCTACTAGAATTAAAGTCGTGTCTGATTGACGCCATTCACCATCTTTATGTAACTTTTGACAATCTTCTGGTCTAGCTCATAGTAGAATTCCATCTTGTTCAAATATTTCAGGTCCAGATCAATGAAAGATACCTAGCAATTTGAAGCAATGTTGGTCATGGATATGCCAAAAGATACTATATCATAAGCGGGCTTAAGTCTAAAAGAAAAACATGATTAAGTGAAGATCCTAGTTACTTTCCAACATTATATTCGGCACGGATGAAGTGTGCTATGAATATGGCATGAAAAGAAACCCAAATGAAAAGCACACAAATAGACATTTTTCTATGTATTCGGGATACTACAAACACGTGTACGTATATTTACACGCACACAAATAGACATT